CCTACAGGGTTGACACCTGCCTTCTTGGGGTTCTCGTAAATATTTGGAAAGAGACTACCTCGCCGCAACTTCACCGACTGGTCCCGCAGCTAAAGGGAACAAGGAGCCAAAGAACCTCATCACTTTCTGATATTTCAATTGAGACTCGTAAGCGCGATGTTACACGAAGAAGTCGCCGGTTGCGATTGATTGGATCCTGTATCCGGTGTGCCGCGCTTCTGGCAAGGTCATTTCTCGATTCAGTCTGTAAGAATACTGAGATGTGACGACCACCATGTGTGAGGGTTCGTTTAGTGGTGGTCAAACTGACGGTCCTAATTGGATTATTGCGGCGAACGCGAATGTTGTGCCTCTCTGTATTCGGCCGTCTCTAACAAAGGACCGCGTCGCTGAATCATGCCCTGAAAAGAAGACTTCAATCCGTGTGTGCGTGGTCGACTTGGGCCATGGACAGAAAGCACCAATGGCCCCTGAGCTGTGACCACAGCGCATTCTCGCATCGTTCCAACGATGATGCGCATGCATGATGGCGAAATGTTTGCAAGACGTCGCCCTAAGGTTGTTTCGATGAATCCAATCTTCCCCAGACTTTCGAGGTGGGACGATCCGAAAAAAGAAGCACCGGAGCCGGCTTCGAGAAGCTCGTAGGGCGTCCGGCATGGCTGCCGATTGGCCAGGCGGGTCTTGTCGCAGGATCCCTGCATCCCGTCTTGACACGTGACGGCATCGAGACACGGAGCTCCTTCCAACCTGGCTTCAGGGATTCCGTCAGCTGCAACGATCCGCAACCCTCTGAGCGCAAGAACGCCTTGCAAACCCGCCGACTCTGTTGCTTGTCTCCGCCACTATGAACGGGATTTCAATCGCCGACAAAACATCACTCGATGCAGGTAAACTCCCCAATTGACGGCCCCTGTCAGACTGCAATCTCACCCTCAAGGCAGCCGACTACGACCCTATCGACCACCTGAACCACCTCTTCGCCCACCCCTCGACGGTAACCACGATCGGCCGCGTCTCCGACACGCTACAAGTCCACAAGAATGATCTCGCCGTCGAAATCTCCGAGCTCGAGGTCGCCCAGGCCTACGGGCCCGACTCCAGCCTCGAGCGCATGCAGTCCGCCCAGGCCGAGCTAGCCCAGCTCTTCCGCAAGATCGAGACGGTGCGGTCGCGCGCCATCCAGACCGAGCAGAACATCACCTCCATGACGGCCGACATCAAGCGACTGGATGGCACGAAGCGGAACCTCACCCTGAGTATGACGGCTCTGAAACGGCTCCAGATGCTGACGACCGCATACGAGCAACTACGCGGCCTGGCCAAGACGAGACAATACAGGGAATGCGCGAGTCTGCTGCAGGCCGTGCTGCAGCTTATGAAGCACTTCAACAGCTACAGGAGTATCGAGCAGATTGCCACCCTCAGCAGAGGCGTCTCGGAACTGCAGCGAGAGCTGCTGGAACAGGTCTGCGAGGACTTTGAGATTGCATTTGCCAAGGGGGAGGTCGCTCAGAGGAGGGGCACGCTGGTCGAGGCTTGCTTGGTAATGGACGCCTTGGGCGATATGGCGCGGTCGCGGTTGATGAACTGGTACGTCAACACGGAGCTGCGCGAGTACCGCCAGGTGTTCAGGGGCAATGACGAAGCTGGAAACCTCGACAACATCGGCCGGCGATACGCGTGGTTCAAGCGCATGCTGAAGACGCACGAAGAGGAGCACGCTGTGATATTCCCGCCCCACTGGCGTGCAAATGAAATGCTCGCCATGGCCTTCTGCGACGGAACGCGAGACGACTTCAAGGGAATCCTCGAGAGGAGCATGCGGAGGACAGATGGCCAGAAGATTGACGTCAACCTGCTGCTCAGCTGCCTCCAAGAGACACTAGACTTTGAACAGGGCTTGGAGAAGCGCTTTGCTGGCGATCCGAGAGCCAGTATCGATACGCTGAGCTCGGCTGATGACAGGGCGTCGAACTTCCACGGCTCCATCTCTGCTGCCTTCGAGCCCTACTTGAGCTTGTGGGTCGAATCTCAAGACAAGCAGCTTGCAGTCATGATACCGAAATACCGCACTGTACCCCTTATTCCCGAAGACGAAGAGTTTTCTCGGCAAGCTGTCATGGCGTCTGCGATTGAGCTCTTCCACTTCTACAGGCTAACCCTGTCGCAATGCGCCAAGCTTTCAACGAGCGACAGGTTGCTTGACCTGGCCAAGACTCTGGCGAAATACCTAGACGAGTATGCACAGCAAGTTCTCCTGCACATTCTGCAAAGAGCAGGTCCACAGGGACCACCAATCCAAGACGTCATTCTGGTTCTAAACACCGCCGACTTTTGGTCCACAAACACCACACAGTTGGAGGAGAGCATCAAGAAGCGCATCGACAACAACCTAGCTGACAAGGTCGATTTCTCGTCCCAGGCCGACGCCTTCCTTGGCGTCGCCAGTGCTGCTGTCTTAACGCTTGTCCGCAACGTCGAGATTGCCTGCGAGGGCGCCTGGCGCGAGATGAGAAATACTAATTGGAGTACCATGGAGAGTGTAGGCGATCAGAGCTCGTATGTTGGTGAGCTGCTGTCCTCAGTAAACGGAAAGACCGAGGAGATCCTGGCCATCGTGGAGAAGGGGCAGTACGCGAGAGCGTTCTGCGACAACCTTGTCGACCACCTCGTTACCGCCTACATTAGCAACATTGTCCAATGCCGGCCTGTTTCCGAGGTTGGCGCTGAACAGGTGAGAGCACCGCCTTCAATACCAGTAGTTGTTACTAACACGTGCTAGATGCTCCTCGACAAGTACGTCTTCACGAAAGCGTTCGAAAACCTCTTATCGTTCCACAACAAGGACACCGGACCGCACGCCGCGCCAGCAGGCTACGTCAAACGCGTCAATCAGACCATGAACCGTATCGATCCGCTCCTCAAGACCCTCCAGGTCCGCCCGTCGCCCCCAGAAGGTCTGGTACAGGCCTACCTCATCCACATCGGCGACCGCTCCGACACCAACTTCAAAAAGATCCTCGAGCTCAAGGGCGTGCGCAAGGGAGAACAGGGCCACCTCGTCGAGCTCTTCGCTATACACCGCGAGGGCAACCTCAGCGACAAGCTCGTCGCGCAGAGCCCGCTGCTCACGCCACTCATGGCGACGACGGGGCTCGGCAGCTCGGGGCTGGGGGTCATCGGTGGCGCAGGGGCGGGCGCGAGCGCGCTGGGGCTGACGAGCGCTGCGGGCAGCAGCGTCATACCCGGGCTACAGACCAAGTTCGACGCGACGTCACTGGGCGAGAAGCTGCTGAGCGCGACGAGGGATTTGGGGCAGGGCGCGGGCGGGCCGGCGACGATGAATGAGAACTTGAAGAACTTTGGCAAGTTCTTTAGGAGGGACATTGGCGGGTTCGGGGCAAGGTTTGGGAAGAGGGACGGGAGTGCTGATGATGCGCAGCGGTGATCATGTGTCGAAGGTGTTGGGGTTTGAATATAGAACGAATAGATGGGTGTTCGCGGCGCCTGCTCGCGGTGCATTCGTGAAGATGTTTTCAGGCCTTATTTGGACTGGAATATAAAACCGATAGTTAATAACTATTGGATCACGGCCGACAGATTGAAATCTTCAAGTCTTTCTACCAGGATGAATAAGACGGCTATGGCTTCGTCCTGGCTAGTTCTGCTACTGCTGGCTTTCCATGGTCTGTTGGGTTGTCTTCAATGCGATTCGGCTAGTCCCTATCGTTGTCCGGCGTATTGTTACGAATGAAGAGTAGAAAATGACCGGCGACAGGCGGTGATGGCTGTGGCTATGACTGTCGATCTCGGATGGAGTGCTGCGATGAGGTTGCGGCTGGTTATGTCATAAACAAGCGTTGGTTAAGACCAGTTGCATTGCAACAAAGGCATCGGGATCATTGGGTCTTTGCTGTCTTGTTTGTTGGTATCGATGCTTGGGAGGCTTATACATCTTGGATTGGCTGACCTCATACCTGACTGCAGGAAGGATTCCGGCATAAGCACTCAATTGGGAGTCTTGAGGACGATCCGGAATGAATGTAGTTTGCCACTCGAGCGACGCTGTTCACACTCGTTTCGATGTCGATCAGTAGTATTTCAAGAGGTTCTGGTTGATGGGTGTTGAGCTCTCAACACCAATGCGTCTGTTCCCGAGTTGAGATTTCTCAACATATCCAGATTTCTCAGCCAGGGGATCTATGCGTTTCAAAGAATAAGGGCCTGTTTGCTTCTTGCGCCAAAGTTATTTCCGTATGTTTAGTAGGAATACTTCCCCGTCAGAGAAGACGGACGCAGGCGAATCAAAACGGTCGGTCGTTTACGGAGAAAGGCCGGCCTTGATTGCTAAGCTTTCAAATTAGCCTGAGAAGTTTCAAGCGATGCTCAGGCTTTGAGTGGCGCAGTGACCAGGCGAATCATTCTGTTTCTTCGTAGCTTCTTTGCGAGCTCAGCTCACATGGTCCAATATATAGTCTGCGTACTGCTCAACGCAAGAAACGGCACGGCCGTTTTCGCGCTCTTCGTCAGAGAAGCAGTTCAGGTTATAAGTAGGCCGGTTGTCAGACTTCTTGAACTTCTCAGCTCAAATAATTTTTTCTAAAACGAATATTGCGTGTTTTTCCCATAAGAAACTGGCTCCGTCGTTCTTCACCAAAACTCGATCCGTGAGATGTCAACAAACATGACGGGCTTTCTTTTCGTCATCTCTTGTCTTTGCGGCTGGTTACTTCTGTCGCTAGGGTATTCGGTCCCCGTCTTGGTCCACGAGGTCGGTGCTCCTGGATTTTGTATATTATCGAAAGCGTCCATGCCCAAAGGTGTACAGAAGGATGTGATTGGAACGAACACGGGTCCTTTGCAACCCATGCTTTGGCGGAAGCACAGAACATGGTACAAGGAAAATTTATAGCAACGCTATTATATTATATTAACCCTGAGCGCTAAGAAAGGCTAGACCAGAGGAAGTATGGTAGAGCTGTCGTCTTTACTAAGGACTATCTACATGAGACCGGCGACCCTGAGGGAAGCCTCTCTTTCATCCACTCACTCAGACTCGTCTTCCATCTCTCGTCTTCTCGACCAGCCACAACGGCCTCCACGTTTGGCGTATCAGTGTGCTTTCTTCCGTCAAACAGCGCATCAATCTCTTCAAGGGTCTTTCCCAAGACCTCCACCCAGTACCACCAGATGAAGGCGAAGAAGAGCACATTCCATCCACCGTTCATGATATACACCCAGTAACCTACGGCGTCGATGGCGATAGGATAGGCGAAATTGCCGGCAATGCCAACAACGCAGATAATGAAGCTGAACATGCTCATGCCCTTGGCCCTGATACGGAAATATAGCATTTGAGCCGGCATCAGAAAGAGAATGGGGATCCATCCGAAGGCATACGATATCGAGAACAGAAATACCGCAAAAACCGTCGCCCAGATTCCGGGGGTATACGTGGTGTCGCCGTAAAACTTGGTCAGGACGCCTAGCAAGATGAGGGCAACGGTCACTCCCGCCGTGCTGATCATTGCGGCTGACTTTGCCCCCTTTTTGTCCGTGTAGTAGCTTCCGCAAATTGATACAACCAGAGATGCGCCGTTCAACCCAACATTCTGTGTTTGTCAGAATCTCCAGTCTAAGACTTCTGGTTGTGAGAGAGCAACCTACCACGAGAAGCTGGGTCCCTTCGTCATTGACGCCCGCGTGGCTCAGCATCTTCCCCACATTGTACATGAAAACGATGTTGCCAGTCAGCATGGATATCAGCGCGCATGACGCTGTAATAATGAGTCTCTTCCTCGCCCCGCGGTTGCGGACTGCTTCCTTGCAGGTCATGGGATCCCGTTCGTACCCGATCGTCTCGCAAATCTGTCGGAACTGCAGCCGGACCAGCTCATCCGTCGTGTCTCCCCCAGCATTCACCTGCGCGAGAACCAGTATCGCGTCGTATGCGCGTCCCTGATCGACCAGCCAGCGCGGGCTCTCCGGCAGCCACGGCAGCAATGATATGCAGAGCAGCCCCCACGCCCCTTGCACCAGACTCGGCAGCCTCCACGCCCAGCTGCTGCTGATCTTGAACGATCCGTACGCCACGCCCGCGGCAGTCAGAGCGCCGATGTAGAAGCAGTCGTCGAAGAGCGCGAGGCCCCACGCGCGCTGGTCCCATGGGAGTGTCTCGGCGAGGTATGCGGAACCGGATATCACGGAGGCGGTGGTCCCGAAGCCGATAATGACTCGGGCGGTGCAAAACATGGCGATGTGCTGTGATGACGCTTGTAATATGGCTGCGATGACTGTAATCATGGCGGACCAAAATAGTCCGAACCGTCGGCTGTAGGTATCTGTCACCCATCCCCAGCAAACACACTCCGCACAGTTAACATTATGTTCTCAAAACTCCGAGTCTCAACACACGAGAGGTGGGGGATGCGCTCTCTTCTCATCGCAGGCGTTGTCTTTGCAAGTTGAGGTCGACTTACGGATAAGCACCCTCCGATATAATTAGTGGCTATATTCAACGAGCGAGTGGCGGTGGTCAGCTTGAAATAGTCGGTGTACTGCGGCAGGATATTCATGCCACCCATCATCGCCCCGTCGTAACCTTGCATCTACAAAAACGTTAGAGCATGGCGACAGATGAGCATCGTGCGGGTGTTCTCCTCACAGCAGCTGTGAGTAGCACGCAGGCCAGCAGCAGATATGTCATGCCCGGTTTCGATTTTGGTTGCCATGTCGGCGCCTGGAAAGGGAGAATACTTCCTTTCACGAAGAACTGGCGAAACGGCAGCGGCATGCCTCTGACGGCAACGCACGAGAAGGTGTTTGTTTATGTTGGTGACCGGGGCATGCTACTTTAGGAAACTTGCCTATCTCAGAGTTGAATCGCGATTGTCCAAAACCATCATGAGAGAGGCGGACCGATTGTGCGAATGTATGTATAGTTCTGGAAGCAGCATGACTCGTCGCCGGGATTTTGACTTCGTGAGTCCCCTCACCATGGAACCTTGAGCTTGCGACAGCCAAGATGAGATTGAAACAGAAGGGCGTGAACACCACGGAAGCCCCGATGAAAGTTTTCTGCCGGATTTCCCGTTCCAAAAACGTCATGACCTAGACCGAGATTAGCAGAACATCCGGGAATAGCGCTGGTAATCAGATAACGGAGTCGTACTTCCGCCTAGTCAGTATCTTTGAGATCCTTCCCAGATTTTGACTTTAGGTCCAGGCTCCCACTGGAAACCAAATAGACTTTGTTGCCGTCTTCCCCATTAGAGGTTGCTGGCAGCCCCGGCTGAGTGACAGCTCCAAGAATTCGTAGAAAAGGGGAAATCAAGGAGGACCCAGGCTTTCTAGGGCGAAAGATGGTTAGGGGCGTTCTTATCGATTCATTCCAGAACGTGATTGCCGATTCACTTGTGAAGTTGGGTTTACTGGTCTTCTAATATAGACCGAAAGCAAGAAAGCGAGCATAATACGCCCATCCAATATGTAAGGCTTTATCTCCCTATAAAAAATATGTGGTCTTGAGGACATTCAATTTTTCAAAAGACCCAATTAGCGTAAGTGCTCATCGCGGTTTGGCTTCGGGAGTCAGGCTTCCTTTTTTCGCTCTCGGAGTTTACGTCCTTTGAGCGAAGTCTTGTTCTCATCTTTTCACCACGCTCGCATGGGTATATAACTCGAGATTCAATAACGGAAGATGGCTAGAGACGGCAGGCGGCTTCATGGTCGGTTAATAAGACTTGAATGGCTAGATTTTGTCAAGGCACGTCAGCTCAACAAAGTGATCGGGGATCTTCCAATTCCTCACAAGCTCTTACATTGCCTGTTGTCTCTTTCCCGACGGAATTGAGAGAGCTTATATGCGCCTTCGACATAATCTTCCCGCGAAATGGCATCGACCAAGCCACATGCATGATCAATCGTCACTTGACAAGGGTTGCCTTCATAATGCCCCCTTTGGCAAAGCTGTTTCGAAGCAAGTGAATCTTTACTGGAGTCGTGTCTTTTCAGAATAAGTATTTCGGCGATGGTACGCATAAAATATTGCCTTCCGCGCTTGCTCATTTGTAGCAATCCTGCCAGCCCTCTTCTCCATCAGTTGCTCCATCGGTAATTGCTACTGTTATTGAAGTACTCCAACATGTATACGGCCAAGTCGCAAGGCAATAATTCCATCAGGTTGAGAGCGTACCGTCCTCAAACATGTCACTTGCTCCAGATCAAACATTTGAACATAGAGTTCAATGGATCATCATGGTGTGGCAATCCTCGGTTAGATTAGAGTCAAGAGTTTCCGCTCAGTCTATCTTTCATACATCAGGTAGTCGGCTTTGGAACTTGAGCTTGCTTGTCGTCATGTATTTAAATAAACGACTTCGACTCTATGAACCAGGGGAAACCAACAATAGCAGCAGAGTGCCTCTGTGGTTGCTTGGCGAGCTTATACACTCTGTAATGTTGCAACAGAAACCTGCTATGAGGATAACCATCGCTTCTTTAATGCTATGAATGTCATCCTTCTTGATTTGTCACCTTCTTGGCCGTATGTGATGTCTTCGTAAGTAATACTGCAATACTGACAAGGAGCTGGCTTGAATCCATGCATCTCACTCACTTCTGACGTCCGACTACTAACCTAGTATGTATCAAAGACTCATCTTATCCATGAACGCCGAATGGGCAAAGAAACGAATCCATCCCTCCTTTTGGATTCCCAAGACTAGCGTCGATTGTCAATTAAGGATTACAAGGACGATGGCATATGATTTTATACCAAGAGATCTCCCGGGACAGCTGGCTCAAAAAAGGCAGCATGAGATCCATTGCTTCTTCCCGGTCAGTCCATTGTATATACACCAGGCAGTTGACATTGCAGTTGAAGCGTGCCTCATGTTAACGCTGTGCGTCTACAAATGGTTCTTAACACATGGAGCAGGCAAAAGCCATCAATCAAGGCCGCGGATCCCATAGCCGTACCGACCGAGGGGATGACATACGGCGCGCTCCAAAGGGGGATAACTTGAAAGAGGAAGTCTCAAATTTACCTAGAGTCCGCAAACAGTTAAAGAAATCATCTCTTCCAAGAAAATCGTAGTAACCACGAATGAGGGCGAAGCCCTCAATTGTCAATCATTTCGAGTCTGCTCTTCTGAAATGCCGCAACTGGAATTCCCAGTGATGATGCAAGTTCTGGGGTGTCTTAATCCCAGTTCACCGCAGCTAACTGTAAGCTTTGTTCACTATTAGCTCTCATTTCCTTCGTTGTATACGATGTTTCGAGTGTAATACTGTGACATCTACAACGAGATGCCCTAAACTCTTGTCTCTCATCTCTGCTGTCGGCATCCTGATTAAGGCACGACCGGAAACCAAATATTCTCCCAGAAAACTGGGCTCAGGCATGGTAGGAGGAGTTGATTGCCGACGAGTTTCCAGGAACAAAGAAGGTCTCAACATATGTGTCCAGTGGCCAAAAACATGTACCGTTGTCGGACAATGAATGGTCGAAATATGGATACATATCTTCAGGGCTTCTAGCTCATAAGCAGCAGCCAATGTGCGAGAATGTGTTCTCCTCTCAGCAATTCCGCGGCACTTAAGATGCTCTCGTGCTGGCTTTCTGTGCTATCCCGGCACCTACTCCATCCATCGACGCCGATTCTTGGCTTTCCACCCCGTATTCACGGAGTCATGTTCAATACACGGGGACTTACAGCAGTTTAAGGGCCACAGCTGGCGATAGCAATAACGTCTACGGAACTTCCCTTTTGAACTAGTGAGCTGCAGATAGTTCTCTGAAACCAGAAAGATGCTGGCAATGATCATTCCTGCGGCAGGTTGCTGATAGAGGACAAAATTGAAGGGTTTTTCAAGAAGGCCCGCCTCTGCCTTTCAAGTCCTCATAGATTTGATCATAAAAGCCAGGTACAGTCTCCTTCAACACAACATCCCCGGCCACAGATGAGGGCTGTCATCAAGACCATGTCAACGATTCTCAGTGTAGGTAGGCAATTCAGAAACCCGAGACCTGACTGGCTGATCTCTCTTCAGTGCATCTTTTGCCGCGGACATGTCTATAGAATTTGTATCTCTGTTCCGGCCAAGTCGCGAGGGTATATGTTTTGAATACTCTGCGAATGCCAGAAGCTTAAGAAATGTAAGAATTACAAAGCCTCTCGTGATATCTTTGGCAGTATGGGAAAATACTCCGCACATTTTTGGCCCGTCGCTTCAAAGAAAGCTCGTCCCCCATGTCGTGCTGATTGAGTACCGCCTTCGTAGAACGCCTCACCGTGATCCCTGTCATTAAGGTACACTTCCTCAGGCACATATATTTAATGATGAAATCCCATGCTGAGAAGAAGCCACAAGCCATTATGAAAACCAGACCATGGTCATTAGGGGGTTCCACCAACTGACGACCAATTCGGTGAGACCCAGGGGGATATTGGGACTGTCCATGGTGGTGGTCTGGAAGGTTGGGATTACAAACCATCCATCTCCACCATTGGTCTCCGCGTATTCCTCCGTACTAGATCAAGGCGGACAGAACCCGTGGAAGTCGATTTGCTTTCTCTGCGAAAAGGTACTTTTGAAGAGAGTATAATTTGCGATGTGGTAGAGTGAAAAGACGTAGGCTAGTGAGCTCTGTTACTACTCAAGAGCAGAAAGAAATCCTCCGATTCTTGTCTTGTCGTAACTTTTTTCAAGCTTTCAGGTTCTTCTTATATGATTCATCACAAGACGCCTATTGAGCATGAAACCTGTTTACCTGTCCAAGTCACTGGGGTGACACTTTTGGATTTTTCTTATATAAAAAGGGTATCCGGTCCGCAAAAATGAGAACTTGGGCAAATTTGCGAGCTTTGGCGCACACTTGTTTCCTTACTAGGACCAATAGATGTGGCAATGTCATTCAGACCAAGGCAAAATTGACCGTCACCATTGTGGCGAATTCGCACTCTCTCCTTCACTCCTCTTTCTCGTCTCTTCTGTCATATTACAGTGGAATATCACTTCAACAGCTGTCGATTAACAGAAAATCGTTGCTAGCAAAGAGAGAGAGGTTCAACCACACGCAGGAGGAAGGTTCGACGCGAAGACAAGAACGGGATCCCGAAATTTCTACGAGGCGCTCAATTTGTGGCCTCTGAGCTGTACCAACTCTGCAACATGTATGAATTCGTTCCTCAGCTTCAGATGAGTCCGTCGATAGCCACATGCACAGAGAGGTATATCATGTGGATTCTGATCATTAGCCAGGAAAAGAATTGATTAAAGCTTCGATCAAATTTGACGATTCTCTTGTGAGATAACGTTGGTAATGTTCGTAATTCAGAACCGTGTTGCTGCCGCTACCTATCACAATCTATTCCCAAAACCCAACTCTGAGCGAATAAGTCTTGGTTCGTGTTGCACAGATACCAGCAAGACAACAGGAACACCGACCTGGGAATTCAAGACAGCTAAGATGAGTCAGATGGAAAACCATAATCTCATGCTCGGAGCATGCTCCTAGGAATGAAGATATTCATTGAGTCACAAACCAACACCACCACTACGATACCCTGCACCAATCCATCCATATAAATAATCACCAAATCGCGCATGACTAGAACAGCCAACACCCGCTTGCAGCTGCACAACGCCCCTTTCAGCCTCTGAAGAGATCCAAATTCTGCAGCCCGCAAGACGTGGCCGTGGCGGACGCGAGACAGCTCACGCCGGTCTCCACTCCAAGGCATCATTCTGCTTGGACACGTCATATCAGCATACGAAGATTCGCCAGAAAAGCACGTTGAATCTCGACTAGTGATTTGATTTCGCGGCTGAAAATAGCGTGCCAGTCACATAATTGGTCCGCGGGAAGCCGCTTCATGGCCAGAATGGCGAAGAATTTGTTCCCGAGGTTCGAGGGCGCTTACTTCTCGCAGCTCGGATTGGTGATAAACCCCACAATCGGTCTCGCGGGTCTGCAAGTTCACACCGAGAGGCCTGATCAGGTCAGGTACACCGAGCAGATGTGAGTACCACTCAGTCCAGTTCGAGTGATCCCATATCCGCGCGAGAAGAGCGCGACCAGGACTGGCCTCCGGAAACCTGAAGCAAGAGACTCAGATGTATACACACGTTCAAATGCAATATTTCCGGCCATGTAGACTTCTCCATTGCTATCATGACTATTCTATAATTCCCAAACATCAATCGTGATACTGTTTTCCTTACGAGCGGGGTTCGTTATTCATATCCTTTGTGTGTGCAAAATATACTGGGAGAGTGGCGTTCAGACGCGAACCGGCGAAAGTCATAGGAATGCCGATATAAACAAGATCCCTCCTCTCACCAGAGAGAAGTTGATGCTAGCATGCCCCCTAAACAGCCGTGCGCTCCGACTTCCACACGTTGCTCTGCGCGTCCTCGGGCACGGCGATGAAGTCCTGGCTGTCGCCGCCGCTGCTGGTGTCGCTGCCGTCCAACGAGCCGTCGTACGAACTCGTCTGCCACGCGGACAGCTCGTCCACGCGGCGGATGCCCATCATCCACGAGACCAGACCGCGCGGCACCCAGCGGCCGACGAAGCCGTAGACGTTGGCGCCGAGGCCGACGCGCACGGTGCTGCTGGTGATGGAGCCGTCGATCACGTCGAAGACGGCGTTGTGCAGGTGCCGCAGGTTGCTGCCCTTGAGCCCGCGGATGCGGCCGGCCGAGATGGCGGAGGTGCTCTGGACGACGAAGTTGCGGCCGTAGGCGTGGCGCGCGTTGTCGGGCCACATGAGGGTCTCGGTGGCTTCGGCATCGATGCCCGGGGCGCCTCCGTCCATGAGCGCCCGCTGGGAGGGGTGGGCGCCCTTGGAGGGCTGGAAGCCGGAGAAGTCGAAGGTGCCGAGCTGGACGTGGGTGACGGGGATGCCGAGGGGTCGCAGCTCGGCTGTCAGGACCTCGGTGAAGGCGGAGAGGGCGGAGGAGACGGTGGCCTCGGGGGCGTGGAAGGGCGGGTTGATGGAGGAGATGATGGACGGGGTGAAGACCAGGACCTTGGGCGGGGTCCACTTCTCGCCCGGGGGGCACAGGCGGCTCGTGAGGAGGGGTAAGAAGGCCTGGATCGTGAGGATGGGGTGCAGGAGGTGGGTGTTGAAGAGGTCGGCAAAGCTCGACGGCGGGATGGTCGCAATCGGCGAGGTCTGGTAGTTTAGGGAGGGGATGAGGATGACGGATTTGAGCTGGAGGAAGTTTGATTTCGTGTTGGGCGCGGGAGTGTGGGGGGAATGCAGGTACTGGGCGAAGCTGTCGATAGCCGCACCGGCTCTGGGAGGCTGCTGCCCGTTAGCACCCGAAGAGTGTCACAAAAACGAGCAAACTTACATCAGTTGTGTCGATAGTGAGGGGCAGGATATCCGGCCTCTTCAGGTTCTGCACCATGTGCTCGTCCTCCTCGGCATTGCACACGATGTAGACGATAAAGCCTCTACGCTCGAAATCCAGAGATAACGACTTCGTCAAGGGCAGCGATGGCGAGCCGGCGATAACGACGACCTCTTGCCTGCCTCCATTTCTCGCACGCTTCGCACGTCGTACCTTGCGGTTGTATCTTCTGTTGTACTGCTGGTATGAGACCACACCAATGACGGCGACGAAGGCACCAGTCAAGATCTTGTGCTTCGATACCCAATCCGTCACCTTTTCAAATCGGGTGAGGGCTATCACTTCGATCGGGCTGCTGTGGACGGGGGGTTGCGGCCGCAGAGCATCGGGGACCCATTCTGCCGTTGCGAGCGTCTCCTTCAGGGCATCGGCAGCCTTCTCGACGTGAGGGTTGACGATGCTGGCGAAGTCGTCGGTGTATTTGCGAATGTGGTTGGGCAGCGAGGACAGCTGGAGAGCGGCGATGGCGTCAGTAACGGGGATCTAGATGATGGCTCGTGTGATCACAAGCTCGAGCGGATTGCTACTCACGACGTCCAGGAACTGCTGGTCGTCCGCCGACATTTTGGGCGGCGTCTGGTCACGATGTACCGGGGGGGCCACTGGAAGCGAGATTTCGGTCGGAGGGGTTGGGTATGAAGGAAGCTTCGTATCTGGCGGTGAAAGTCTTTCTCTTTTTGAGATAGCTGGGGGATATGTCGGCGGATGGAGCTTTTTCCTCGCGGGTCGGCAAAAAAATGGTCAAGGGTGTTCGACTGGACTGTTCGTTCCGCGTAGATGGTGGGGAAGCCTCCGCTGCCCAAGGTGGAGTTTCACTGGCCGCCTGCCTCAGTCTACTGAGGCCCTCCCGCCAGTGCTCACCGAGGGGTCCGGGCTTGATCCGGGCGCCGGAGCTGATTGGTCGGCCGAGTTCAGCGCAGAAGCCCCCTCCTCGGTGCTATCTAAGGTTTGTTTTGTTTCTCCGAATTCAACGTCACCACCCTTTCCGGCGCATGAACCTCCCATTTCCTGAGCCCATGCTCGACTCCACGGTGCCCCTTTTGAGCCGTCTTCGTGCACGGCTGTCAAGGGCGGCCAGATGACAGGAGGACAGGAAGCCTTGACCAGGTGCTTGACTTCGTATATTCATCAGCTGAAAGCATCAACGTTGCAACGGGCATTGTTCAGTTCTCATTGACGTTGATTTAATGCTTTGCTGCTTGACAGCATCATATCGCGCAGAATCTGCCCTGGGCGACTGTGTGGTCAAATATCCCCGCTGAAGATGCGATTGTTGGAGAAGACGATGTAGTGGCTTTGCTTTCGCGTCGTATCCCATCCCAGTGCCACAAGAGGGTCATATAAAGCCCAACGTTCCACAAAACTCCTTCACATCTCCCTTCGGTCCTCAAATACTAGCTGAAACATTTCACATCTAGCTCATGTTCCGACGTTGAGAATAGTCTTTTCTCGACTGAAATTCACCATTCCGGGCCCAAGGCGGCCCGAGTTGGGCCTTCTGTACCTGCTTTCTCGCTCCTTGACGATCACCAACTTGCTTTATCTGGAAAGTTGCCCAATGTGAGCGATGATGGTTTGAGGGGATCGAGGGGCTCTTGTTCTTTCGGCTTCTTTCTGATGACCCGGTCACTGGTCTCGTCGCCTGGTTTGCGAGAACACGTTGTTCATTGATTTCTTGTTACACGACACATGCCTTCTGGAAGTTCAGAGTGAGCGGTATCGACGGAATGATGTTTTTTTGACCTAGTCGACTTTGGTTTCAGCAACCATGGTACTCTTGGATAATGGAAGAGCGTTGACTAAAGAGGCCCCGATCCAGACCATCCAGTCTTTCAGCCTGCTTCTGTAACATGACCGGATCCACGAGCCAATAAAATGCTTTCCGTTTTCATTGTTTACGATCAAAGACTCTTCTTGCCCCTGTTGGTTGTTTCTGTATGATTTCAGGGTACGGTCGACGACAACCGAGGCGCCAGGCTAAGAAAGCAAATCTTCCGCGTAGAACAGCACACTTACAACGCAATAGAGGTCAAAGGAAGGCATTTTAACTGAGACCTAGTCCTGAGCGTCGATTATAAAGGAAGAGACCAAACGGAAGTAGAAGGAGGGAGGGCCTCGAGTTACATATGGAGTTCTCAACAAAGCTTGAGCAAGATTATCACGGGAGCCACTGCTTCTAATATGGGGGAGGTCGTTTGAGTCCTCCTCGCGCTGGTTGGATTCAATAAGACCACGGGGCCAAAGGTCAGGAGCGCTGGAGGCAAGAGGTTCTCACCTGCCCATGCACCTGCCTTCTCCCGTCTACCTCTACGACCTGCTGCCTGAGGTAGCCTACCCACGCCCGCCCTCAGGTACTCGAACAGAATTATCACTGTCCCTTCCATCAACAGCCCGTGGTCTAGTGGGGTTACTAGGCGCATCAATTGATGCGAGTTCTCGAACGTCTCACGCCACGGGTGCGCAAGTTCGAGTCCCACTCTGGTCAACCATTAGTGGGGTTCTTGCTCTGCCGCCGTTAGAAAAATCCATAGCATCGTTACACCTGAGGCTGGTAAGAGTCTCCTATGGATTTTCATAGGACCCTTCTGGGTCCGAACTTTTTGATTTTTTATTGATTTTCATTTTGTGACTTTTGTGGTGACGATGTGCGTGAGAGCTGTCAGCCAGGGGCGAGTCCAGCCGTGTGACAATTTTCAATTATGCTCCTTCTATTAGACTGTGGCAGGTAGTGTTTAGATCTGAGATCAACCTGTATTTTATTACCAGGACGTTGCTTGTGACGATGTGCGCTTCCTAACCTGCTGTCGCTGGCGACAGGAGAGCCATTGATGTGACCCCCATCACGAAGGCAAAAGCTTTCCCTGCGTAAATGTTTTGGCGACCTTAAAAACCTGCACCGCCTACCACGTTCTCCAATGCCGAAGCAAGAATCGTCGCTGCGAGCCCAATCATGAGCTTCCCAGAGCTCCTTACGACGTCTCCATATCCTAGGGGGGACATCAGCAAGTCGTCGTGTCCCAGTCCCGCACATGCACAAGGAGCATCATCACAGCTATCCGCCGTCGTCGCTGGTGGATATATATACGGATGGATACTCGGAGAGAGCTTGAAAATACCTCATCACTCACCACGAGCCTAACACACTCGGTGTACCTTTGCATTACCACGAACAAGCTCGGCCTGATAAGCGTGGGATTAAACCAGCGCATTGCCAAAACGGTCGCCCCGGATTGTGCCCGATTGTGTTTCCAGAAACATATCTACGTCCTATTGGACGTCTTTATGTAGCCGCAAGTTCCGGGCGTCAGGTACGGCGTGCTCAACATCCCCCGCGTGATCCCGCGACACTCGTCTATGAGCCAAAACAGGGTGAGGCAAGGCGGCGATCACCAAGGAGCATGTGGCGACATACTCTATAAAGCCTTTCACAGTGGTACGTCTGCTCTCTGCCAACCCCAAATCCAACGGCTGGCATGATCAGTGACAACCCTGACGGCAAAATCTCTGGGCCACGTGCAGCTTTTTCCCCCGAGCATTCACCAGCCTCAACCCCCAAATGGCGCGTCTCGTCACTTTCCATCACTGTTCTCATATTATTCGCATGCCAAATCAACACCTAATCAGACTGGGTCTCTCATTATTGATTTTCACCGCACAGAGAGAGTATCACTGATTCAGTCTTCCACAGAGCACAGTTGCATCCTCACCAAGTCACGTTCGCTTTAGCTGAGGTAGCCCACCCAGGCTGTCAATCAGTATGATTTAACCAGCAGAAGGGTAGCTGAAGATTTCCACGCAATTTATAAGGCATTGTTATGAAATGGCATGCCGTAGAAACGACGTATGATCCTGTATGTGTCTCGTGATTAAATCGATGAACGGCGCGAGCAAGCCTCATCTATAAGTAAGAAGAGGCAACAGCCTTCTAGCCCAGAATCAAGACGCAGACTAAGCAAGGCACGAGGAAGAGAACAATTATTGCTTTTGCTTCCGCTACCCCATTGTCAGGTCAAGCTGTCCACATAAGAAGGAGTCAGCAAACGAGACTGAAGCACAGAAGGTCAACCATGCACACCTTTAACCTAACATCGCACCCCTTTCTCGCCGTCACTGAAGCATTACCAGAGAATACAACCAACCCAGACGTGCTGCCGCTCTCGTACAGAGTGTGAATATACACTTGTTGCAGGAACCAGCCTCACCTTCGCCTACACATGCAGAAGGGCAACGCCGTCGACCACCAAGAGAATTGGACCAACAGAAAGAGGTAGCCTCGAAGATCCACGCAGTTCATATATACTCTCATTATACGATGAGTGCCGCAGCAACAACTTGGGACAGCTCTACGCACGCCGAGCGTGCTCCAGACGGCGAGCAAGCTTCTGAAATTGAGTAGGAAGAGGAAAAGGATTTCTGCTCTGGGCTCAAACCAAATGACGCCAAAACACCACCAGAAGCGCGAACAAAATCTTCGGTGTGCTGGCACATTTCACATGAAAAGGGGATATCAGCAAACAAGACTGGAGCATGGAAGGCCGACCATATCCACCATTGCCTCTCGTCGTCACTCGAGTATGAGCAGAGAATACAAACAAGCCAGACACGGCGCGTTCCTCTGCCATAGACCACGTCCTGGAGCACACGATACTGTACTTTATCGTCACGCGGCTAAGACGAAGCAGGTGCAAATTGCTACGAGTGGAATGGTTCGGCTATTGGTGTTAGAGTCTTTCTCATGGGGACTAACATCACCCCCTTTTAAGCAATCCCCAAAACACTGAAGAAGGATCCTAGAAACCTTCACCAAAGACCTATATAATCAATGCATCTTGCATCAGATCTTAGAAGCGAGAAGCTGCAAATGTAAGATCTCGATGGCTTGTACTCCTTATCATCTCCAGCCCAAGACCACCTCAACCCCGCCATGATGACGAGCTGGCGGGCTGGGGCATCTCTCCACACACACGCCGCAGACATCAATCGGTATTCTCTACGGCAACGACGTATAGACGGGCACAAACAGAGGAGGGAAAGGGTGAGTTTAGAAGATAGATGATGGAGGAGCAGTAACATATGAAGCTGGTCTTGGTGACAGAGCGTAGGATAGACAATCCGAAGTTACAATTCCAGAAGTGCCAGATCAAAATGGAAGTTGATCGAGCAAATTACCCTCTGGCGAATATCTTCAATTCTGTCCGGCCGGAAGATATATCCCCTTTATTGCATGTCACTGATGCAGGCAACATCTTTCCCGATGGGACGAGATGGAGGCATAACACCCTCTCCCAATATTTGAGATCGCACACTTCCTCAGCGAGTACCAGCCACATCATGCAGCAACCTCACCACCGCCCTTCACACATCACACACAAATCCTCCCTCTTCGTGACTCAAACCAACACTTCACCCTCACCCTCCAGAGCGCATCTCCAAACATTCAATGAAGCGTAATGTGTCCTACCCAACCCACCGCCCCGGACCATTCCAACCCCCTGGGACCTCGCACATGCAAATCTCGGCAGCATCCGCCCTTTCCCTTCCCAGGGGGGTCCCCAAATAGGCATTCCGTCATCTCGCCTATCCTCCAGACCGACATGGCATTTGACGTGGTGAAATTGTTCAAAAAAGGCAAGCCAGCCAGCCCCGGAGCAAAGCACAGGCGGTGGGACAGCAACACGAGTCGGACATCGCGACGATGCGTTGCAATCCGGTCCCAATCCAGCCAGCGCAGAGAGCATTCTAGCCCGTTTGCCCCCCTCTGATGCATGTCAGGAGATAAAAACACAAGCTTCAAAAGGCCTCGACATATTAAACCTGGTCCCCGTTCCCCTTACGTTAGTGTTCGCAGCCCAGCGCGAACAGTAGAATGATGATGTGCAAACGTCAAGCCCGACCTTGGAAGAGTGCCGGATTACCCGCCTCAGTAAGGGGGAATGGGAAGGCGGGAGAAAAATAGACGTTGCGCCTCGCAACGATGCAAGAATAAATTCGGGAAGCAACTTTGCTTTTTCTTGAATAAATCCAATCCCCCCAAGGCAGAACCAGCCCGTTGCCGGCTCGCCGTGAGCCCAGATGCGTGGCACCCGCGGAAGCCTTTCCTGGGATTTTAGAGCGACTCAGAAGTAGGCGGAAGCGGAGATGAAAACCCGATTCGACCGCCGATGCAATCGCTGCCGAGACCACCCCAAAAAAACAGAGGGCTGGGGGCGTCTTCGGCTGGCCATGGCGACTGTGACCTTTGATGCACCTCTTCATACCCATCGTGATCTACCGGGGAGGAAAGCAACGGCCGAGTCGTTGAAAGAGGCGAAAAGCCCACTTGCGCTCTTTCGCTGTTGGCTGGAGAGTCGAACACGAAGGTTTCGGTCTTTTGATCACACGTTCTGCTCCTGAGTCGTTACAGCAGACGCCCCTTGTGATAAGGCTATCAGTGGCCTCTTTCTGTACGTTCAATCCACTCTGTCACTCCGCTTCAATCTCAATCACCCCCATCCCATGCGCCTTGAGTGTCAGGCACAGCGCCGAAATAGCGACAGATGTTCCCCCTTGTTCGACGGCCGTAAGGCATCGCGCAATCGGAGAATTAGGGCGGAGAGCTGCCTCGTGGTTTGCAGGAGATTGAGACGGCCACGCGCGATTGCGACGGGCCCCAGGGAGCCAATTGGCCCACGAGTTTCCAAGGTCTTGACACAAGAGGTGGAGGACTCGCATTTACCTGCTTGAAATGGGCCGTATCTCGCAACGAGAGGAGGCAAGCTGTTCGCGCGCGAAATCTTGTTTTGCGTGCAGGTGCAGGCTTACGGTGGGGGAAACCGGGTGTGCGTCTGTGGCTTGCAGATGCGAGAGTGCAAATCTGCCCAATCCAGCCGCAGAGGCCACCGGTGCTGACCGGTTTGGGGGGCAGCCGTGTCTGTCGCGTGGAGGAAACGAGGTAACGCGTAAAGTGGTTTTATTATTCGTTGCATTTGCACGCTTGTTGGTGCTTTGGTAGCATTATGCTTCGTTCGCCCTCGTCGAAGCCGTTCTATTAGTGGCTGCAGTTGGGTTGGCGCGCAACTCAATTGAGGAATGTATTGTGCTGGTTGACCGACTAGTTCCAATCTCCATCCGAGATCTCGAGGGGAGACCCCTGGCAATATTGGACAGCTGGCAGACATGACAATCAAACTGCCTGCTTGCAGCAGAAGCATGTGCTTGTGTGTCTCTCGGTTGTTGATGTTGCGATGTTTGCGACGCAGCGTGGAGTTGATGTTAGGACGAACGGACGCAACGCACGTCCAGGACGCGATATGTCGGTCAGCTATTATCAACACGTCTGATGGGATGTTCATGTCTCGGTCGGCGCTGCTGCGCTGATATCACCAATCTCGACGACACCTGCGGAACCCCAACCAACCAGCCCCCTAAGAGTAGCCTGCTTCAGCAAACATGTCCGAGCCAAGTTCCATCATCCATGTCTGTGCGGGATGGCATCAGGATGTCTTGCTTCCAGACGCTGGGACATCGGCCGTCCGGTGAGCGACTGGTGGGTGAAGTGATTGAACTGGCACGGATGGGGACGATGATAGGACCTCTCGTCAGCGCCGTCATGTTTGTATTTCGAAACACGCCGTTATTCCAGCAATGATCTAGAAATAACGCGTGCAAGACGCGATCTGCTGGCTGGCGTCAGCGTCGCAACCCGCGCTCTAGAGCCGATCCTGGCTGGAGGCGACGAACTCCTGCGCATCTTGTGCCCTTTTGAGGCATTCAGCTGCAATCCCAAGTGCCGCAAATGCACACTTGTCCTGCTGATTGCTCCGTTGCAGCCGCCGAGGCAAATTCGCCCAGGCCGCTGGCCCGACAAAAGACTGCGCAATGGTGTTACAGGCCCGGCTGACACCCTCTACGAGGACCCGGAATAGGCAGGCCGGTCGGCGCATCCGGTGTCCCGTCTGTGGGGGATGTGTCGGGGTGCGGTGGGTCGTCCGCTGCTGCAGGATTCGGGCCCTGGGGAAACAATCATGAAGACATGGAGCCAACAGGCAAGACTCCTTCAATCATGTTTCCGGTGGGCAGGCGAGGGCTTTGGATCTCCAAATGAGCCTCAAACTGATTCCCAGAACAATACCACAAGCCGAGGAAATCCGAGAAGCCGGTTGCTGAGTGCATTCGGTGGGTGCTCAGGCCAGCTCGTGATAGCTTCTGTGGGGAGCGTAAGGACCGGGGCGGCAGATTTCTCAAGCCGTAAGTCATGATGACGAGCATAGGGGTTATTTTTTCTGCGCTGACCCGTAGCGAGTGGCACGGCGCTGACGAACTTGTACTGGAATCCGAGACGGCGCCCGTATCCACGATTAAAGTGCCCTCGAATGTTTCTGCCAGATTGGCAAAATCTCCTCTGTTCCACAAGAATCCACTGCCGTATATCCCCCAGGACGGCAGCATGTGCCTGTTGCTCGGACGTTCGCAGTGACAATCCGTTTCCTGGGTTCTTTAATGACGGCATGTTTGTCGCCAGACTGGGACATTGAGAAAAGCATCGGCCAGGTGTCAAGAATTGATGATGGCCATCAAGCTCGCGGACATCCGCCCGTCAAAAAGTGAGGTGGCTGGACGCTCAAGGCTGAAATTGAGCGAGGCGCCGATCGTTTGCCCGTTCGGTAACCGTAGATGGGACGACGTCAGCACGGTGCAGGCCTCATCTACCGTTTCCGTGGTGAAGGAGAAGCCGCGATAGATGGCCTTCCCCAACATCGGCTTGGAATTATAGCATGGAACGCCACGCCACGGCTGACATGGGCAACGGCGCCGGTTACGAACAGCGTTCGTTCGGTCAGGAATCGGAAGCGCACCTCGCCTGCTGAGCAGCAGGCGCAGCTCTCCTAAGGAAAGCCCCGATGCACCCTGATCCTGGAGAATAGCTCCAAGAAGCTCCGAAAAAGCTCCAATGAAATCCCATGGTTGGCAGGTCCATCAATTGCGTTCGGTCGGCATGGCGTTTCCACGACGGAGCTGTTCTCCCCGACGACAAGCCGCAGGTTCTCCACTGCCATTCCTATCCTTGGAACAAAACCAATAGGTAGACGGCCGGCTGCGTGAACCGCTCAGGTTCGCTTGGCGTGGCTTCTTCGAACTTCGGAAGCTAGGCAAGACGTGGGCTGAAGGTATGCAGCTTCGCGTCATGACACGAACTTCGCGGCCAGGCTTCTGCAGCTCGCCAAGGGCAACGCTTCCGCGCAGCCAATCTGTGATATCCGCGGCCCGAGCTGGGGTGAGATCCAGGGCTCCGAGACCTTGAAAGCTGCAGTTCCTGTGTGGCCAAGATGATATCGCGCGGTTCGTCAGCAATCACGAATTTGAATGTCGCAACATTGACTGATCATCCATCGGCGATGGGATGCTGCGATTGATGTTGCTAGGGTCGATTGGCTAGTGACAGGCGAGGGGATACAGGCCTAACCCGTCAAGAAAGTTACTTTGATAGGTGTCCGAGCGGCTGACGGCGTGTCTGATTCGGGGCATTTGGAGAACCACCAGGGGTTGCCTTTGGGCCGCGATCTGGGCCTCTAGCAGTTGTGTAGCGCGTTGTTTGTGCCTGAAGTAGAGTTGGTGATTGATGATCATTGCAGATGCCACGCGACGGTGCTACCAGATCTGCCATAGTTGGAATATTCGTTGCTGTATCGTAATCACGTTGCCGTGCCCTGTCTTAGACAATATGATGTGGCCTTGTTAGCTTCGATCGAAATCCAGCCGTGCTCGACGGCTATGTTGACGTTCTAGAGCACAGCAAGTATTTATACGCCATTCTTCAGAGCTCAAACAGAGCGCGTCGAAACATACGGCGATGGTTCAAGTGGCAGGTCTTCATAGATCGCGGCGGCTGTTGACGCGAACCTACCGACGAGACGCTTTCAGCTTCCCCGCGAGCACGAATCGGGTGTGGATACGACGTTGTGTCGCTGCGCAGTTGCAGCGGCGAAATCGTTTCCTGGAAAAGGCCAGTCATGAAACACAGACAAGGCATGGAAGAGTTGCATTGGCGAGTGCGACCGTCGCCATTGGAACCAACTGGCAGACGAATTGAGTTTACACGGCCTCACACCATAGGCTCGCGTGAGTGAAGGCGGTGCTACGGCATGATTCGATATAGAGTGCCTGACGGTCCGGTTTCGCGCTGCTCTTCCCGTTTTTGGCGGAATCGCAGACACCGTGAGCTCCGAATAAACTGTGTGCTTTGGCAGCGGACGCAGCGTCAATTGGCAATTGGGCGACAGGCGCCGCGTGAAGGCTGTTGAGGAGATGATGGGATGGCAGGTGGCCTGTGTGCGGCTATTCCCTCGGTTCCGTCAACGGCGGCCCAACGCTTGGGACGTTGGCTGCACCTGTCGACGGCCATTACCGACATAGCCTTTGCCTGAGGTTAAATAGCAGCGGGCGTGCAATATACGGCGTTCCAACGCAACGCCAACACATATGACCTCTGTGCCGTTATTCAGGGTTCAATTGGCTCAACTGGAAGCACAATCAAACCCCTAATGCGGATACCGGAGCTCTGTGTTCGCGGACAGCACTCCAGGCCCACCCGGGTCGCTGGTCCGTCGGGCGGCGTATTCGCAGGTGTGATATGATGGTAATGGGAGTAATAGCGGCCATCTTAAGAGTTCGGGGGCCCGAGCTGGAGGTTTCGTTCTCGGAAAATCTTTCTTTTTCGCAGGGCCAGGCCATGTGCTGGACATGAACCCTTGCAGAGACGGCTGGGCGGGATATTGTGACAGACGGTGCAGCGGCAAGGGGAGAAAATTGAGGTGCAAAAATCTCTTCATAACGGGCCAACCCGATTTGTTGCGGACGGGGTTGCACAAAGGGTCCGGAAGTGAGGGAAAAGCTGCTTGGCTGGCACCGGGGAGAACATCGTCTTCAGAGCTCCAGAAGAGGAGGCGTTTTGCTGGGACAGGGTCTGCAGCAGTGCAAAGGGGTTGGGGCGACTGGCGACAGGAGACGGAAACCGTCAGTGTCTTGGGATGAACTGCAGGGCGCCCATTCCACCGTACGAGTTCCGACCCGACGTGATGGCAGCTTCCGCGCCTTGAGATAGACAGACGTCCGTGTGCTGGAAGGTGGCCAGTTGCTTGCAGCGAATTGTAGGGAAGTTGCCTGTTGCTGGTAGAAAGCTCTTCAACCGGAGCTGCCCAACTGACGATGCATCTTCACTTTTCACAACGCAAGAGACACACGAGACACTGTACCAATGCAGAGGATAAGGTTTGCATTACTAAGGCGGAACATGCCAGGATCGCGCATGGCAAGCACACGGCGTGCACAAGATCTGGCGCTAATCCCGGTCGGGACAAGGGGGGCTCGGCCGATTGGGTGGAACTGGAGACGGGATCGGAATTTTCAACCTTCCTTAGCGTCATGAGCCTCGTGTCTTTTGTGCGGGTTGTTCTGGTTGTGCAGCGTAGTGGGGCCCCTTTCCGTGCCGGGGCGCCGGCCTGTGGCTGAAGATGCACCGTGTCGGGACGGTGGTGGAGCACCCGATCACAGTCATGTGGGGTCGTCCCGTTTGGCAGCTGCAACCACTTGCAACTTGCAAGCATCTCTCTTGCCTTCCAAAAAACCTTCTAGACGACTCCACGAGGGTCCTCATCCCCCTGCATTCATTCAGAATCTCCCAATTCTCGTTTCGTACGCCTCGCCGTCCCCGAGACCCCATCTCCGAGCTCCTCTGTGGGTGCTCGACCGGAGCAAAAGGACACGCCAAAAAACCATCGAGCCAACCCCGTCACGTCTATTTGTGAAGCGAAGCTCCAAATTTGCCGTGTCTGTTGAGACTATTGATTTCCTACCATACCATGTACGACGACATCTGGCAACGCCCCCTCAAGAATGTCAGCGATCCCTTTCCTCTCGGATGGAATGGCCCGTCAGGGTCTGAGACAAGGCAAGCACCTAGGCAAGCCCGCCGTTCTCCCCCGGCCGAGAATTTGCGCGCCAATGGAGGCTTGCCGACTGACCGCTGGAAAATCGGTTGTTGGGAGAAGCAAAACCGCAATTCCGGCCTGCTGAGCCGTGCCGCCACCAAATGTTCGCCTTACGGCAACCAAGCCGTGTCTCTGCTCCGCCGCTCGGTACCGCTGGCGACAATAGCGGTCAAATGCTCGCAACGACGCCTAAGGTGCCAATCCAACCACTTATCAAGGGACATGTCGACAACTTGATGCACCTGCTGGGTTTGGCCAAGCCGACTGTCTATCAGGGGTTTTAATGCAGCCTGCCAAACGTCATGGGGTTGCACTTTGGCCTAGACAGCGGCTGGCATTGACTCAACCCAGGCGACATCCGCATGCCTTAGTCAGACACCGAGTGACGTCCGCAAACACCAACCATCGCCACCATTCTCCCCGCAGACCCTGCGGTGCACAGGCAAACCACCTACACGCATACCGCTGCATCAATAGTTTGTCGGTGCGAGTCCCCACGGACAGACCGCTACGTTCCAGCCATCAGAGTCTTTTGATGCTCAACGGCTGAGTGGACAACGTTGCGGCAACATTTGGGTCCGGGGGGTTGGGGAGGATCTCACGGAGGAGCCTCGGGCCCCCCAACGGCAGTCACAACGGCGGTCAAAACACTGCAGATGCGGTAAGAGAGAGGGGAAGAGAAAAAAAACCACAGTCTTGGCATCAAGGGACTCAGTGCGGAGGCTCTGCAAAAAAATCTGCACGCGTTGCCGTTGAGACGAATTACCTGATGGGTCGAGGAAGAGGAGCAAGAGTGAAGAATTTTTTGATATTGGAGCTTCACGATGCACTTGAGCCGCAGCTGCCGCGGGCCGTCAAAGCCATTGACAAATCACATCGAGGCAGATGGCGAGCAAGAAAAAAGCTAAATGGTGTCGCGAAGCGGCAGACCGGGTACG